GTGGCTAATAAAACACACCTTTAAACTTTCAAATCTAAAAAAGGTATAAAATCTATTACATTCTTTTGAGTAAGTTTTAAAAACGTCTGCAGTATTAATCAAATCCTGCATATCAACAAAAGTAATACATATATTTTTTTATTGAGTATGTTATTTTGGAGAACATTTATATAAAATAATCTAACTGATAAGGATGAAAATATCCTATTCAAACTACTTATTGATAAAATGTGATTTTAAAAATTAATTAATTAAAATAAATATCACAAAATAAATTTAGGTGTAAGCAAATCCCTTTGTCTACAGTAATCACAAGCAAAAATTAATTCCAAGGGAGTTTACCTAGAGGTGTAAGGATAGTTAAAAGGTATCTAAATTAATACATTAGAACACTGTTGATATCATGTAACAGTTCTGTACTGTTGCCTATTGTATTTATACTAAAAATTAAAATAGCTAGAGCAACAAAAGAAGCATTTGTAAAACCACATCATCATTTGCATTTTTGCCATGGCTATAGCAGAATTTTTAATGTAAAAGTTTGAAAGAAAAAAAAAAAAAAGGAGTTCTTAACATCAACAAAAAGACTAAAACCTGAGAGATATTTTTCCTGATGATGTGAAGAAAAAATAACTCAAGAATGAATTATCCACTTGTACTGGTGAGCTGCCTGGCTGTGGAAGCAATAAGTTTAGGGTTATTAACCTGGTCCAGAGACATTACTCGTACACTGCTTAAAACTTCTGCATCTCAGATTAATGAATTAGATGTTGGCTTGTGGTATATAAGTCAAGGATGTGTCTACCTTGACTTCAGCAAGGCTTTTAACACCGTTTCCCACAGCATTCTCCTCAAGAAACTGGCTGCTCGTGGCTTGGACTGGCGTACGCTTTGTTGGGTTAGAAACTGGCTGGATAGCCGGGCCCAAAGAGTTGTGGTGAATGGAGTCAAATCCAGTTGGAGGCCGGTCACTAGTGGCATTCCCCAGGGCTCGGTACTGGGGCTGGTCCTCTTTAATATCTTCATCGATGACCTGGATGAGGGCATAGAGTGCACCCTCAGTAAGTTCGCAGATGACACCAAGTTAGGTGCGTGTGTCGATCTGCTCGAGGAAGGCTCTGCAGGAGGATCTGGATAGGCTGCACCAATGGGCTGAGGTCAACTGCATGAAGTTCAACAAGGCCAAGTGCCGGGTCCTGCACCTGGGGTGCAATAACCTCAAGCAGAGCTACAGGCTGGGAGATGAATGGTTGGAAAGCTGCCTGGCAGAGAAGGACCTGAGAGTGATGGTTGATAGTCGGCTGAATATGAGCCAGCAGTGTGCTCAGGTGGCCAAGAAGGCCAATGGCATCCTGGCTTGCATAAGAAGCAGTGTGGCCAGCAGGGCTAGGGAAGTGATTGTCCCCCTGTACTCGGCTCTGGTGAGGCCGCACCTCGAGTACTGTGTTCAGTTTTGGGCCCCTCACTACAAGAAGGACATTGAGGTGCTTGAGTGAGTCCAGAGAAGGGCGACGAAGCTGGTGAGGGGCCTGGAGAACAAGTCTTACGAGGAGCGGCTGAAGGAGCTGGGCTTGTTCAGGAGGCTCAGGGGCAACCTTATCGCACCCTACAGATACCTTAAAGGAGGCTGTAGCGAGGTGGGGGTTGGTCTGTTCTCCCACATGCCTAGTGACAGGACAAGGGGGAATGGGCTAAAGTTGCGCCAGAGGAGTTTTAGGTTGGATGTTGGGAAGAACTTCTTTACCAAAAGGGTTGTTAGGCATCGGAACAGGCTGCCCAGGGACGTCGTGGAGTCACCATCCCTGGAGGTCTTTAAAAGATGTTTAGACGTAGAGCTTAGTGATATGGGTTAGTGGAGGATTGGTTAGTGTTAGGTCAGAGGTTGGACTCGATGATCTTGAGGTCTCTTCCAACCTAGAAATTCTGTGATTCTGTGATATTTTGGGGTCTTTCCATTTATTCTAGAATAAGAGGATTTATTACAAAAAGGTGAAATTATGACAAATACCTTGAAAATTTTTCATCCCCTTCAACTAATGTGTTTTCTAATGAGATTTGTTAAGAATTTACTTACACAGACAGATTGCTTACTTACATTTTGTTTTGTGTAAGACTGCTGTTAATTGTCTTACTGACCTATGTCTACTTAGTAACATCTTTTAATTTGAAAATGCCACTTCTACTAATAACTGGTAGCTCATAGTAAAAATAATTGACTGTGTGTATGCATAGTATTAGAAAAGAACCTCCAAGTGTGGTGTTCAAAACAGAAACATTTTGTCCCTCAAAGTAATCTCTTAAATTTGTAAGGAAGCGGTATAAGTGCCCTTATACTGTCTTTAATCTCTGGAATAATAAAAGATAAATCTGTGGTTAAGTATATATACAGAAGGTACACCAGTGGATCCTACATTATTTGCTACATCTGTAATAAACGTACTTGGAATAACAGTGGTCTGTGTTACATCTATGCTTGCTGCCCCTCAGCAAGCCTTCAGTATGCTGTCCTTTGCCATGCCAATTTAATGGTTTAGATAACTGGAAGCTGGAGGGAAATCTGTACCAGGCTGTGCTGCACTTTGCAAAGTGCCACAGCTAGCTGTGTACTCTTACTGATTGTCATCACTGAGCGCACACTTACAAGGTCCTGCCATCTCTCTTGTCCCTACAGATTGTCTGAGGTGTTAAGATCTGTAGAGATCTTGGAGTAGAAATCTAAAAGAAACTGCTTTAAGATGTCTTGCAGCTATTTTTCACTTCTTAGCATGTACGTTGGCAATCTACACTTCCACAAAACACAGAAATTTCAGATCTACCAAAGCATGAGGACATGGTTTTGTATCATTTTTGGAGGGTGAAGGCTGACCCCAAACTAGTGTCACTGGTACCTACTGGCATTCCATTCCACTTCAGGAACCTTCAAGAAGTTGCTGCAGTAGCCTCACTTCTTTCTGTGCTATCAGCACAGGGAATGATGTCCAGGGCCACTTTACTCCTGGCTGGACTCCAGCTGCTATAGCTGCCAGCCCCTTGAGGCTGCTGGCAATCAGTTAAAAACAGATCAGCCTTGTGCAGTGAACTGGTGCTGGATTGCACTAATGGTGGGAAACTTGCAGGATCAGGGAAACAATGAGCTCCTTTACTGTTCCTTCTTGGCCAGAAACATGGATCAGAGCTTTCAGATAGTTACATTCTGTATGAAGTTTTTCATTCTGCTCTACTACTTTGGAACCCTCACACACACTAAGTCTTATATTAATGAAATTGGAAGGGTTAAAAACTTGTAAGAGAAATCAGGTTAAAGTTTCAGGTAGCTTGATTCCAGTAAAATTATTCTAAATCAAAATTTAATCTAAGGAGATATGAAGACAGCAATGTTTACATGGCAAGATAAAACATGTTCTGGAACAAGTTTTGTAGGGGAAGACAAGTGAGAATGAAGCCATGGGTTATGTCTTCTGGTCCTAGTCCTGGTCAAGTACCAGCCCACATACATAGGACCTTGTCTCCTATAGCCAATTCTGATTTGACTTTCACTCACCTGGGAAGTGTCTTGGAGACTCAGCACAGTGGTGTGAGCTGTTCACAACAGAATGGACAGAAACTTCAGCCCTGGCTTGTATCTGAGGAACATCCCTGGACAGGTGCTAGAGTACCTGGTTCCCTTTTCCTCTTCTTGTTCTTCATTTCCTTGTCATTCTTAAGAATAGAGAAAGCAAGAAACAAAAACAACAAAAGAAACAATGAAAAAACAAGCAAACAAACAAAACAGTATTTTGTATCAGTCTTCTAACTTTTTTTTTTTTTTTTTTTTTTTTTTTTTTCTCCACAGAATGCCTGTGCTCACTCTGTGGCTACTTTTGCTGGTTCTCTGTGCTGTCTCTGTAAATCTAAGCCAGTATTTCCAGAGAAAATGCTGCCTAATAATTTCAAAAAGTGTTATTGCTTCTGGCTTCTCCAATGCTTGGTGTAGCAGAATGTAAAGAACAAAGAACAGGCACAGAATGACCTGACCCCATTATTGGTATTAAAGAGAGTGAAGTGACACTTGTCCAAGAAAATTCAGTTTCTTTAGCAAGCATACTGATGCCAGAGATATGTGTAAATATTAAAGTCCCCAGAACAACAAGATTCTTTCTGAGGAGCAGTTCTCTATAACACATTTAAGGGGGTGAGATTATGGTGCTTTGCCTCATTAGTAAGCTGGAAGTACAAATTCACTGTGAATTGATTTGGTGGTCAACAAAAGTCAGTAGCATGAGTTTCTCTACATCTCCACAATTTTTCCAACTCTTCCTCACCATTTTTCTAAATTAAAGTAAGGAATTCTTCTACATATAGTGCTGGTCATTTTTGTTTGTTTGTTTGTTTTTGTTTTTGTTTGAGGAGTGATATGTATGACAAAGTATTACAATTTGAAACAGTAATGTCTTTTTAAATGGTGAAGTTTAAAATGAATTGCAGGAACTACTGTCTTTGTGAGATTGGATACATTTGTTCCCCATCTCAGCATTTAGACTCAGACCAAAGAGAAATACAGTACTTGGATGGCAATCTAGTTGCTTGCTTGCACAATACAAAGGCTTCAACAGGTATCTATTGCTAAGCATCACATCTACCTTATTCATAGATGCATCACATTGAGGATTATACAAGAGTTAAATTAGAGAAAAGAGAGAGAGAGAACCCTCAACCTCATCTTACCTGTGACTTCCACAGAAAACCCAATAGAAGTATTACATTTAGATTGGCTTGTGTTGACTGTTGATTGATTGCTAAATTCACTGCTGGCATCTCTACCTAAATAAATTCATGGAAGACTCTGGCCCTCTATTTTGAATGCCTACCCAATTGTGCATGCATAATATTGGAACAGCAACAGCAATTTAGCCTTCTCTGTTTCTTTCATTTATTATTATTATTATTATTATTATTATTATTATTATTATTATTATTATTATTTATTGTTTTTTTATTTATTTATTTATTTTTTTTTTCAGACCCCAGTTGCCTCTTGGAGAGTTTTGCTGCTGATGATTTCTTTTTAACAGACCATCTGTCTCATCCCGTATTCTAGAGCATTCTTCCTCACTCCTTGTCATGTTTCCAACAGAGTAAGTAGTTGGACTGCTCATAATCTAAATAGCAAGCATATTACTCTTCTGCCACTGTCTCAGAAGGAAAACAAAACAAAACAAAACAAAAGAACCTGTAGTCCTTCTTATGCTGCTTTTACCTGTGTAGAAACCTTTTTTATGTTCATTTTCCCCTTTCCCCTGAGCAGAAAATCCTTCAGCCCACTTGCTAGGGAAGGGTCTCAGCACATTCACAGCTCCCCAGCAAGTTCATTTACACTGAATGCATTCCATGATCAGGGGTGACGTCCTCTGTGAAGCCTTAGGACTAGACTGGTGATAGTACAGATAGGCAAAAGAAAGAAAAGAACAAAAAATTTGCTGCAGATCTCTTAGGTACCAGTTGGTCATTGAACACCAGGAGCGGCAGGAATACAAGACAGAGTAGAACAAAATTCTGTGAAGTGTGAAGCACAACTGAAGATAATTTAAACGGAACTTAAGGCTGCACCTTCAAATCACAGGTGGCATCAAAATGGAAAGTAGGCATAAAATAATTTTATTTATGTTGGCATCTGATTCTGGCACTCATGTATAACTGTTTTCATCCAAAAAAAGGTAGGGAAGTTATCTATAATACAAAACCTATGTATTCTCCATTCTATAAAAACAAAAAACAAAAAATAAATTGAAACAAGCAAGACTTGAGAGAAGTAAAACCACAAAAGAACTCATTACAAACATTAGACTTAACAGTCCCTCTTGGTGAGTCCTTCACAGAAATTTGAGAAGATGTAAAGAGTACTAATAGTCATTTTGCTTCAGATACATATGATGTATCCCTGAACCATTTGTATGGACTCCTTTGTAGTTATTGGAGATAAATTGGATCTTTTAGAACATGATTCACATATTGTAAAATCCACTTTAGGGTAGGTTGAAGTTCTCCCTAGAAATGGCTATTTGCTGTAATTGATTACAAAGTCTAAATGACTGTTACAGTTGCAGATACCCTTACTGCAGAGTTCTTCTTTGACCTGGTATGTCCCCTACAAAAAAAAAAAAAAAAAAAAAAAATGTCAGAAGATTCAGAAATAATGACTTAGAAAGCCATTATAACTTGGCAAGAAAAGCAAGATAGACTGCTTCTGATGGGAATGATTAGTGCTCTATTTCAACGGGCATCTGGATTATCATGTCTGTGTTATCTACCTGTGAGATAGAGCCCCATAACCATATCACCACCCCTTGGCAGTGGCCCTGATTTCTGAATTCTGACCTCTTTTCTGGGCTGTTTAAGTTCTAAGCCCACCTGATCAAAACTTAATGAGGCTTTGTTAGACCACAGTAAGCAGTACCCATTACTACTACAAATAAAGTAAGCTCTCATGGCAGCAAAGACAAAAACAAAACAAAACAAAATGAAACAGGAACAAAAAAAAACATGACTGTAAAAATCCATTTACAAGGCATATGTCAAGCCTGTGTTCACCATATGAAAAAAGATGCTAAAACAAGCTTTATTTTACAATACTTTGCAAGTGTTTACAAACACAACATAGGATGCGCTGACAACAGCAGGATTCTTCACAGGAGCAATGTAGAATGTTTCTGCAGGTCACGATTGGAATATTTTAATAAAAACAAGCAAAACTCACTAATTTATGCTGAGCATAAATATAAAGTCTGTCCATGGTGTTCAAAATATAATACTATAAAGATAAGATAAGGAAGATAAATCTTGTAGGTAGTTTATTGATAAGATAAAACAAAGCAGGGTGATAAGTTAAAACAAACATTGTACTGCAGTTTCTCTGCAATATAAGCAATAATGCAAATGGCCTAGAAGGACATCAAATTTGTAGCAATATCAGGGAAACCAAACATTGCCAGGTTCAAACATATCTGCCTTCCCCTTCTTTCTGTTAAGAAAGTGCACTTTCGGAATAGCAGTTCATGTTTTTGAGGATATAGGTGAGTTTTCAAAAGAGCAAATACCAGAGGAACTGGAGTCCTACTACAGATTCATAATTTATGCTTTTATGAATCTTCTCCTACTCCTTTCTATTCTCTTCTAAGAAAGACTACTACTACTACAAAAATAAAATAAAATAAAATAATATATGTACATATATACAAGAGAACACTTCTTAATGGTGAGATTTTGCTCTGTAACCTCCACAACTGAGTAACTTTATAACCTGTTTTATCCTAAATTTCTAAAATACTTTGAGTGGTAAAATTACTAGGGATTTAGTTGATGCCATTTATAATACCTAAATTATTGCCAGCACTCTGCTTGGTTACCTTATAAAACCAGAGCACAAGATTAAAAAGTATGTTTTTTATACCTTTTGGAAAGCATTATTTCAAATGACTGCATTTGGCTTCATTATCCAAGCTATTTTATTGGAAAATTAAACAATTTTATGGTATAGGTTGAGCATGATGAATACATAAATAACTTGCTTTCCTCTTTGGAAAAAGTAGTGAAGACATAGCAACTGGCAGTTTTGAAATATAAAAGATGCTGAGATACCAGTTCTAAAACTGTCAGGCCCACAACTAAATAAACACATTTATATTATGTGTATTGGAAATTAAATGCCAAGAGAGAAATGATACCAGAAAATTATTTGTCTGTGATGTAGCTACCCACGGTACCTTAAAAGCATTGATGTGTTAAATTTTTCAGTGTTCCTGGGTTGCAAGTCTTAATAAAGAGCTTGAGATTTTAACACTGCTGAGATATTATAACAGAAAACACAGAATTAAACAGGCTGTAGAAAGAGTTCAATGGACAGTGTGTAGTCAATGTCTTAAAAACATGGTCGACACTGCAGCATGGTGGCTTGTATATCAGTGGGTGTAAGCAAAACCAAAATGGCACTCACCCAATGGAGGTGGTTTTAGTCTTCATCCATTTATATAAAAACTGTGTAATGTTATCTATGAGAGGCCAGCCTTAGCTGAAACTTCCCATAAACTGATCAGTGCCATGATCAGGTCAAAAGGCACCTGGCAGACTTATCACACACTGAAAGTGCAGAGATATTTTTTTCTTCAGCTAGAAATGGATGCAAATTGAATGTAAAACTACAGTAGTAACCGGGGACATGCAGAGTGTAAAAAATAGAAAACTAAAATAGAGAAACTAAAATAAAAGTGCCTGACATGAGTTTTCATTCCTGAATGACAACAGTACTTCCTGATGGGTAACAAAGGTTGCGAAGGAACAGTTGTGTTATAGCAGGTTGCTTTACGATTACAAGACATTAATCTCTCTGATGGACACACTACAGATTAGCTGACATGTCTTCCAAAGTCAGGAAAGAAGTGGCAGAAGCAGCATTGAATCTATATGGCCACCAGATCTGAGGCAGCCAGAGGTAATGAAATGGTCACCATAACTAAGGCACTGCTTCAGGGGCTGGTAGGCCCAACCAACACACACCATAGCGACTACCAGAACACCACTGGGGATCTTAGAAATAGAGTCTTCATTACTTTAAAAGGTATTTCATTAAAATGTGACTATACTTGGGCTTGGAAAAAAAGGTGCAAGTCTTCAGTCTACAAGTGCTAAGCTTCTTCCACAGAAAACATGGGCCATGGATGATACATTTAGCACAGCAATGCGACAGCTCTTTTGCTGAGCACTGGACTTGGCAAACAAACCTGATCTCAGGCAGCTCCACAGCTTGGAGCTGTGACAGCTTGGGACAGTCACCCAGCCACCTTGCCTTGCAGCAGCAGCCAATGGGTGACTACTGGCACCTGCTCATCTCTCTTCATAGGTCTGTGAGCAGAGGGTGGCTTTTCTCAGCACCATTACAATATAATTAAAGTAACAACACTACAACACATTTAGAAAACACTAAAAGGTAGAAGCAAATAAATAAATAAATAAATAAATAGTAAAAGTAAATGACAAAATATTTGTTTTCATAGCTATATTATTTTATTACAAGCTAAATAAGACCATAGGGAAATAATTACTGATATAAGAAAGCGTATTTTATTAAAGTGTTATTATTTTAAATTTGCCAGCTTTTTATCAAATTTATAGCTACACAGATATGGTTCCCATTTTATTTACAGAAACATATTGATTTGCCTGGTTCCTAAAAGGCACTTGGAAGATACGGTAATGGAATGTGTAGCTACTTCTTCTTGCAGATCAATTAGTGTGAATTTCATGGACTGTATAAAATGGACACATTTACAAAGCTCAGCATATTCTTATGGCTCCCCATGCAGGAGCAGCAGCCACTAAGCCACTTAGTACTATCTACATACTTGCTGGAAATGCTAGCAAAGAAGTGAACCATCAAGCACAGTTTTGGCAGTCTCTTACACAGCCTAATTGAATTAATTCTGCTGATTATACCACCTGCAGTATTTACTTGATGAAATACACTCATCCAAAGCGGCTGCATGTATTACTCTTTTGAATGCACAGCTCATCAGAACAGGATGCCCAGGTTCAGTGATTGGCATAGGTCAGCCAGCATAGCAAAGTTAAGGTTTAATTTCCTTAATCATTCTTCCTCATTTTCTCTAGTCTTACATATAGTTTGTGCATAAACAGTCTGAATTGTCTTATGAAGTACAAGCTGAGAAGTTTATCTCTTTTTTTTTTGTTTGTTTAAAAAAAAAAAAAAAAGATTTATTGACCAGATTGTTTCACGCAAATCAATTATATCTTTGGTTTGTTCAATAAATGTTAATTTCAGTTATCTTTCTGATGACTTCATGTTACCATCCTGTGGTTATTCATTAAATACACATGGTAACATTTTGGATGCTTGGCTAGATGACAGACTTTGAAAAACTTGTGACCAAAATTATTAAAAAAGGAAGTTTTACAATTGAACTATTTGACTTGATGGCTGCTGAGCATTTTCAACATTAATCACATCAAAACTTCTGGCATTGCTATTAGGTTTTTTATTGAATTGGATATTTTCAGCAATTTCTGATTTTCTCAGATTTTTAAATGGAAGGAAGGAAGGAAGGAAGGAAGGAAGGAAGGAAGG